GGTTAGTTGTATACAAACTAGGTTAGTAATATACCCAAACCAAACCTATACCTAGCACGTGCTACCCTACCTATACCTATACCCAGTCACGTGCTACCCTACCCTACCTATAATCCGTGCAACCCTACCCTACCTATACCTATGGTCCGTGCGACCCTACCCTACCTATACCTACGTCCGTGCGACCTATACCCTACCTATACCCTACCCTAGGTACATGGTACCCATCCGCCAGTCTAAGTACGTTAGTGGCTCTTATAGCTATCAAGGACAAGTAGGCAACGTGTACTAACAACACAAGTCTCCATATAAGTGTTAAAGTGCTTTAGCTACATTACTCTACTCCTAGCTTATTATTTGTCTAGCTATTGTTGCTAACTACATTTCCCTAGTTGTGTAGGATCTCTACTTCCTTGTACCAGGCAGATAGATAATACTTGTAACAACGCGCTGCTAGTCTAATACTACTAGGGTACAGTCTAAAGACTTATAACTATAGCCCTTGTTACATAGCATGAGGTTGCACTAAACTGCCTCTAAACCTCCCTATATAAGGAGCTAGGAACTGTAGTGTTGTAGAGTAGTTTTTCTATATCCTTTTATACAAGACCTATAGGTGTAGAGAATATACCTAGGTGTTCTTATCATCCTAGTACTCTTATATGCCTTGTAGCGGATTCACACCTGTTCTAGATATCTCTCTTCTTGCCTGCGTTGTTACAATACTAGCCAGCAAAGATGAGGAACAGCAGAACTGACCAGCCAGCAGCGTTAATTGCAGCAATTAACGTTACCCACTCGCGATTGCCTGGGTAGATACTCTTTGGCATGCCTCTCCTCTCTAATCCTGTCACAACAAGCTAAGTTGTGATCTTACCCACTAGGCTGGCGGAATGGGTATACTCCAACGTCCTTCGTGGGTACCCCCCAAAACTTTGTCAATAATACATGGATTCTAGCGAATAGGGCTTAAAAGAAAGAGAAAAACTACCTCTACATTTCTGTAGTAGAGAGTTTTGTTATAACTATTAAACTACACAAGCTAGAGGCTAGAAAAGGTTAAAAAAGGGGGGGTACCTAGCAAGCATACCTATTAATAGGTATACTTTGCTAGGTAGTGTTAATAACTTAGCTAATACTAGGCGGAATGAGCTAATTCTTTTTTTATTAGAAGGCGCAATACTAGGCGCTTCTATCGAATAATAGATTATGTAAGCGTATCTCTGCTAGTTAAGAAGCTATAAGCCAAAACGTAAAAAAGCATAACATAGATTATCACCGAGCTAGCCATATCACCGAACCAGCCATTTTCTCTTGGCACAACTAACACAAGTTACTGCAACTACAACTACTTACTATTAAACAGTGACCTAGCATACTGCGTGCTTGTATTAGATTTAGAAGATGTTTCTGCACCCTCCTAGCACGTTTGTGCGTTGTGTCTAGTCTTGCTGCAGTTCCCACAGCGCTAAACAGTTGACTAAGCTCCTAGTTAACCACCTCCACCCCAAGTCTTCTTAGATGGCTAAGCTGCTACACACGCCTCAGCAGCTACCCGCGATGCTGCTGGGCCATACTCAAGTGTGCCACTATGCTGAATCTGCTTTCTCTTACGCGATTTTCTCTTAGTTATTACTGCTAATTGCTCTTTAAGCTCTTGCACGCGGGCCTTAATAAGGACGTTTTTATGCAGCATCTCTTTAGCCCCTTTTATAAGCTTTAAGAACCCCTCTTGCGCTGCACTTAGTAATTGTTAGAAGGAGTTGCTTACAAGCTTAGATTAAGACCTAAACTTGTGTGTATTGCTTAGCGTCTTAGATTGCCACAGTGTTTTAGGTAGAGGTACTGCTAGTAGGGTATGCAGCTGCACTTTAAGGCAATCTAACACTACCTACGTGTTAGTAGGAATAAGCCCTAATACCTTAAAGGCCTTTTAGTAGTTAACCTTTATAAATATATTAAGGAACGCGTCCCTAAAGGCTAGTAGGAAGCCTTCCTTGTTAATATAGAAGATATGTTAGTATACTAAGTCTTAAATATGTTAGGAGTACTT